TTTTCTGAAAGGTTCATTTTTACAACACAGAAGTTGTGACCATGTTTCTGTTTCTTACAACACATGTGATGGAAATAGGGTGCCTATATTGCTTAGAGAATGTTTTGGGAAGCAAATGTGTCATTCTTGTCCCTGATGGGCAAAAGTGGTGTGTTTACTCTACTCGGAGATGCAGGAGGATATTAAATTCATTAACTTGGTATATTAAATCTCATCCAAAGCCAAAATATTCCAGCTGGTTTTTGAGGGGCTGCTGATACCCCAGAGCTGTGATCTGCTGCTTCCATCCATGAATTCTGTCACTGATGTGCAGGTGCAGGCTAATTTCTTTGTCCAGTATGAATATCTTTGGACCATATTGTTTGTATTGTGAATTCCAGCTCCAAAATGAGATGTTGGATCAACGACCAAGAAGGGTTGGGTCAGCAGTGAAGGAAGAAAATTTCTTTGCACGACTGTGAAATGAAATTCATGTGTTGGTCTTCAGAAGAGATGGAGGGTTACTGCTACATTAAACGTGTGTCCAGCTAACAATGTTAGGAACTGAGTTTATCATTTTTCACCTTTCCTTCACTTAAGTTATACCTATGTTTCCAATAAAAACAGTCTGTTGGCTCATGCCTTTTAGTGTAGTCAGTCAGCCACAGCCAGTTGGAAGGGACTTGGCAAATAAAAACCCACTCGTTGAGTTTTGATCAGAGGTTGTCCTGGAGTACATGATTTCAGTGGTTTTTATATATATATAAAAAAAATGGTAAAATATGAAAGTGCTCAGAGGCATCAGTATTTTTACAAACCAGATCAAGACTTAAAGGCTTGTTCTTGCCCTTAAGATATTGGCTAAATTTTGGTTTGTTTGCTTGTCCCAACAGATGAAACAGAATTCAGAAATTTTATTGTCTGGCTCGAAGACCAGAAAATCAGACACTACAAGATTGAAGACCGAGGGAACCTGAGAAACATACACAGCGATGACTGGCCCAAATCGTTTGAAAAGGTATTTCATTGTTGCAAACACAGTTCCAAATGCTGATGTAAATGACAGCTAACAGCTGCTGTAGTCGTGGAATGTAAGTGACTCTGACTGTTTGTCCTGTCTGAACTTTCACATTTGCAGGATTATTGAAGTATTATTGAAGCCAAACTGTAGGAGTTAAGACTGTAGAGCTTTTTGTACAAAATTTTTATTCAGCTTTGTTTTGCAGTAGGTGGGGTATCCATTCTAATTTTTTTTTCACCTGATTTGATTCAGTTCTTGAAGTAGAAAGAAGATTGACTACTAATAAACAGCTTTTCTACATTTATGATTCTTATGTACCAAAAGGAAAATGGATTAGGCTAAAGTATTTGTAGGCTTTGCATGTGTGTGGAAGCTATTGCTGCATGTCTTGTTATTTCAGATAGATGGTTTTCCTCTGCTAAGCACTCGGTGTGGCAAGCAGCCATCATTTAGTGAGTGATCTCCTGAGTGCTCATGAGCGTTCCAAGTCACCACAAGGCTGTTGAGCGTTCCCTCTTGGTTCCCATTTGCTTTCTCTCAACACAGCCCTGCAAGGAGCTGGAAGTGCTGCTCAGTAATCCTCACTGCTCATTCATCTCACTTTTTTTAACCCTCGAGCTTTGCGTTTTGCTCACTGCCCAGGAAGATTGGATTTGCAGTGCTTGTGCTTTGAAGGGAGGAGCCTAAAGTGTGCTAATATCACATGCGTAAATTTGCATGCAGTTAGAGTTACTTGCAGCTGGTACTGTTGTGGTGTCAGTAGTATCTTTCCTGGTTTGGCCAAACTCTCCTCTGTCTGCCTGCCTGTGGATCCCTCCCTGTTAGTGCTCTCCAGCTGCTGGTGCCCTTTCCCTCTGTGCTGCCAAAGTAAAGGCTGTGTGGCAGTTTTCTTCCAACAAAGGGACACAGCAGAATACTGGTTGCTGTAGCCTAGATTTTGTTAGTCTTGGCAGAGTTTGGGCTGGGTCCTGTGTTCTGGGTTCAGAAGAACAAACGCAGTGTCCCAGCCACATTTTGCCCTCCCTTTGTACACAATCTGTAAGAAAATTACTTCTGTTGCCCACAGAATCCTCTTATATCAACATTGTGACAGTCTTAGGTAGCATCATTCCTTCTTCCTGCTTTAGATGGTAAATTTTTGCTGCAATTTGTTCTCTGTCCTTTCCTTTGCCTTCACTTACTGTGTAAAATGAACAGGGAGCTAAGAAAGGTTCATTTTGGTTTCTCTGGTTGCCAGCTGACAATGAATAACATTCATTAAAAAGCAGGTGCCACTAAATGGCAGACTCAAGTTAGTGGTGGGTTGGAGCGCTCAAAAATGTCTGAGAGAGATCAAATGCCACAGCAGGACATTTCACAATGATGCTTCTTGTTAACAACTGTAAAATCTGTGAGAAAGTGACTATTGACAAAACAATTCTGTGCCCCTCCCTAATTCATGCCGGTCCATAACAGTAGGTTGTTTTCTTCTCTTTCTGCTCCTCAGTATATGAAAGATGTAAACTGCCCTTTCAAAATACAAGAACGACAAGAAACAGTGGACTGGCTGCTCGGCTTAGCAGTTAGGCTCGAGTATGGAGATAATGGTATGAGTGAATTTATTTAATACTTCAAAATGATAGAGAAATGGGGTTTTTCTGTTTCATTTTGGGAAGTATTTGTCAGATTAAGACAATGTCAAAAGTATATATTGTTTTCTTAAAAAAAAATATAATCTCATCTGCTTGGTTTTGCACCATGTTCAGATGTGAACTGTTTCTCTTCAACTCCTGTGGGACAGGGCAGTAGTGTACTTGCATTTAATACGTTATTTCTGGATACAGAAAAACTCATTGTATATATTTGTACCCTTCTTCCCATGGGATTGTCTTTATGAGAACTTACTCTAAAGTATATTAAATGCATCTTCTGTAGTACTACATTTATTCAAATTAGTTATTCTTAGAGCCTTGTTTTACAGGGAGTAGATGCAGAACCCTTGGGAAGTAGGGCAAGGTTATGAAGAAGTTGAGTTAAATCTGGACAGTGAGCAGCAGCTCATTTCCTTATAGTAAAAGTGCAGATAAAAATGTAATTACTGGTGGCAAACATAATAACAGCCAAAGTACTGTTTTCCATTACCTTTAATTCCTGCAGGGCTGAGCTCTGCCCAAGACAGGGATGGGATTTAAATACTTGCAATCTGTAGAACTGTTTCTCATTCCCTCATGATGGAGAAAGTGAGCTGCCTGTGACTCACGGCTACGTGAAGATGGAGGAGCCAGGAGGTCTTGGAAAACCCCTGTGTGGGTTGTAGATGAATGTTGCAGTCTATAAAACAAAGCCTTCACTGGAAATGCTGTACTTGCTGATCAGAACCAGCTTCAGTCTGTAGCTCTTGAGCCCTCCTTGCAGTGCTGATTGAGGCAGAGGGCCAATGCTAGTTGAACTGATGGATTTTCGAAGTGGTGGAATTGTCAGTGCAGCTTGTTCAGCCTTCTGGGATGAAGACTGCAGGAAGAGCCTTAATCTAGAGCAGAATGTCCTATGTAAGTATAGAGCCTGCTCTGGTGCTGCTTTTGGATAGCACATAAGCTCTCCGCAGATGAGAGCTCATTAGTATGCCAGCCTTTGGACACATAAGAAGGGAGCTCCAAAATGTCAGTGAATGAGCCCAGAAGGCTCCTGGGCAATTACCACACCCCAAAAATACAGCTGTAGCAAACTACAGCTCGGTGCTAAACTTTTAGCTAGTTATTTTTGTCGTTAGCTCTAATGGTGCTCATGTTTGCTTCTTAATTTAACAGCTGATAAGTACAAGGATTCTACCCCAGATGGTGCTAAAAATACTGATAATACAGCAAAAATTGCAGAACCGCTGATTAACTTGGATGGTAAGTGTGCAGCAGCCTACTGTACAGTACATCATGTGGGAATGTGTTTCATGGCCTGTGTGGTGTTCTTCAGACTTTAAGTTGTTCTAATACAATTAATACAATATGTGTTATTAATAAA